ACAGGGAATTTGAAGGTAATACTCAGAAATATTGTATGTAACCAAGGCGGGATGGGGGGGGTGGAAGGCAGAAGGAAGGTGTGGATGGAAAGAAGGTATACGGCACACAATAAAAGTGAGAATTTATGAGGCATACAGGGTGATAAGGAGAGTTCAAAATAATCTGGAAAAACTGGATTGCTGCAAGTGCTAATGGGGCTTGGAAGGAGTTCTTTCAAAATACATTGAAAACCGAGAAATGCCAGTAATGGACTAGGCCCTTACTGGGTGCCTATAGGAAAACTGTTGATTGAGGAGATATTTGATGTAGGCTTTTTGATACAGAGAAGTTAGTCGTTTGTATACAGAAAGAAATGTAATTGTCTATTCATACTACTTGAGGATGGTAAACAACTTCCTAATCTATTTGCAAACTAAGGAAGATTTTAACAGCATCTATTAAGTGTAAGTATTTTCAGATCAGTAGCCAAGAACATTTGCATCTTAGAATCATAAAAGATTTGGCTGAGAAGGCACCTGGCCTAATGGAGTTAAGTATTTTAAAATCCTGTCATATAGAGAAATCCCAAGATCTCGGAAGGGTGTGCTGTGCCAGTGTTCATAGCGATGACACCAATCATTGTTAGGTGCTTCCATAGTAATAATTACAGGTAAGAGAGTGTGAGTTAACTAACAAGGGCTTCAACAATGAAAATGACAATAACTTAGCACGTTTAAGAAAACAAAAGTGTTTGACAAAATGAAACATTTGGTTGATAAAAGCACTGGTGCAGATTGTTATTAACAAACCAAGAAAATTCCGAAGAAAAATAATAGTGTATGTATACATCATCATTTGCATTGCACGGATTAATTCCTAACAGACAAAGGGCAGAAATTCATGGTCCAAAAAGAAGGAGCAATCCCTGCTGAAAGAGTGTGCCTCTGTGCAAGAACTGTGCTGGTTAATGTTGGCATCAGGAGATACAACTTGTCAAAACCAGTGTTGATCAGATTTGCAAGTGGCAGGATCAGTAGCTGAAGCAGAGGGAGTCCTTCAGATCAACACAAGTCCCTTGGCCAGCTGAACACACTCGAACAAGATAAGGTGCTCCTCAGGTACTGGACCACCTAGCTGTTGATCCACAAACCCCTATCAGTTGCCTGGCCTGTGGGAACACATAGAAGTGACCACGGGCAGAATGTAACTGCTGGTGGAAGGAGTTTTTGCTTGTACCATTTCGACTTCATGGAAAGGGAGCGCTAAGGAACCCTTGGTGTCAATACTGTCACGAACTTCATTGGTGACCGCTGAAGAAGTCGCTGTCACCCATGACTGCCAATGCCAAGTTGGAAACCCAGCAAAGCCCGAAGCTGCAACACCTCTTGGCAGTCCAGGCATCCACATGCTTTTTAATTATGTTGAAAACTTGGAAGTGGTCCAGAGCAAAATGACAGGACCGACTGGGAAGGTCAGAAAGCACTTTACAGTGGGCACTGAACCAGTATCTCTCAATCGCACCACAGAAAATACAAAGTACTGGTGGGAGCACCAGAGTACTGGTGCACTAACCTGCAGGGAAAGGCACAGCAAGAATCAACAGCTGCAAGTTATATTTAGGCATGTTCAGAGTAAAATAAGACATAATATACTCAACAGTGAGGAAAGAAAATTAATGGAGAGATGAAAGGAATGCATTAAGAGCGGCCCTATTCCTCGCAAGGAGAAATATACGATGGCACTCGATTTGATTAGCTGCTCTATGATGTTCCCCACTGGAGTTGCTATGGAGAATTCATTATTACTGTGTCCCTGAAGGTCTCAAGCTTAATTTAAACCACAAAACCAAGTAACGCATATACCCTAAAGCAGAAAAAGTAATACTTACTGATATACAAAGTGACCTTGAGTTACAACATTCCTTACATTTTACATATAAAACACTTATTACAGAAAATGTCACTAAGAGACTAAAAGTTCATCAGGGATACACTCGATTGCATTAGAAAGACATGGATAAATAATATGTTCTGCATCTCTGGGAGACAGCCGTGCTGCCTTGCAAGGTCAAACGTGCTGTGGCCAAGTGCCATGTGGCAACACTTCCTGGCCATGTGAATAGAGAAGCAGGAATCTGGTCATCATCTGATTAGCTGCTAGGCAGATGAACCCATTATAAGGTACACTCTGTCACTAGAAATAAGTATTAAAGCAGGTGTTCTAAACTAGTTCTGTAGGAGAATTATTACATAGAAGGCATTAAATTTGTTATGGATTTTGCCACCCTGCAAAACATAAGATTAAGTTCTTTGCACTTCAGTCAGCACAAGATTACTCAGAGGCTGTGGCTGCATTGTATTGTAAATATAGACAAGCCAAAAGTTCTAATGCAGTACTGAAGGAGCAGTCATTTTGCAAACAATAAAACCAAACTCAAGATTATCTTTTCCATATAGATTCCCCTTGTTTGATTATGCCTATGCTCATACAATTTAAGCTAGCTAAATAGATTCATCAGTCTAACCACAGTGGTTTAGGTGCACTTTATGAACATAGATGAAGCTCAGCTTGGTACTTGCCTCAAAGAGAACATGCATTAACTAGAAGTAAAGCATTTGAATCGTGTTAGCTTCAACCTCACATTGTATCATGATCACACATTCTGCAGCACTTCCAAAGCAAACGTGGACACGGCTTCCCTAACACATCCCAGACACCTTGTTCAGTCAAAGCTGTTTCTGGAACACGACAGGCACATTACATAAGAGGCCAGACTCGATCCTGGAGGTCAGTGTGCAGAGCTTCTCCAACCATGCAGTTGCAACCTACCCACCATAGCAATTCAGTGTAAGTGTCCCTGTTGCAAGGCACCACAGTAAGGACAGGCTTAGTCAGGGTTGCCTTTTAACCTGTAGAGATGTCAGTCTTGAAACATTTGAGAATGACATCTCTGCACACTTCAGTTCTGAGAGCTGTGCTCACCCTTACATGCATTTGCCAAGTTCATCACAGAATCAGACTGGGAAGAGCCTTTCTTTTGTGACAGAAGGGTTTCAATGATACAACTCCCTACAGCAGGTAAAGCTGTCCTTTATAAAGTTTGTTCCCACCTTGGTACCACATGCTTAGGCCAAGAAACTTCAAATTCCACCTGTCACCCTCAGCCTCTTGAAGACCCATAGTGAAGTGCCTAATGCACAGGAATCGTTCAGAGCTAAAACCCCTCTCCCATACTCCACCAGGCAGTGACAGACAGTAAATCACTCAAGCCTAGCATGCAGCAGGAAAGAGATATGCACACTGACCATAGACATGATACCAAACTTTCCCACAAGTCCCCCATCTTGGTCAGCGAACTGCAAGGAATCTCTGCCAACTGCTTGGTAGGGATGGGCTGGGACAAAGCACCAGGGCCAGCATTCATGCTCTCTGACTCTACACTTCTTCCAGATCAGAAGCTTGAAGCAGCAAGCTCTGTTGCAAGAGCTTGGCATCACAGTCCTTGGTTGGATCAGCACAGTGAGCAGCAAGAGGTTCACACGTAGACACAGTAAGATGACTCCCACATGGCCGCAGCTTCTTGAAAGCCCACGGGCATCAGGTAGTTCCTCTCAATAGCTGGATACCTTTTCTCAGAGAAGGTCACCACAGCTACAGAACGGCTGCTTCTCCTCCCTACCACTGCCTCAGGGCTTCTCTCTCTAAACGGAGTATGGAATGCTGACCAAAGAGATGTCTTCACCAGTGCTGCACATTTGTTTTTCATAGTAACAGCAATCTTCTGCATTTATCACCTTCTCTGACCATGTATCTTTCATCTGGACTTCACTGACATGAGCAATGATAAGCTACAAGGGGTAATGAAGCTCCTGTAACATTCTGCACTCTCTCTCTCTCAAAAAAACCCAAACCAACCCAAACAAAATAAAATCAATCAAACAAAGACAGAAAGGATAAAGAGGAAAAGGGGAAAGAGAAAAGGAAAAGAGAAAAGGGAAAAGGACTGGGCTTTTCTATTCTCCAAGCTTCCAACTCTATTACAACCACCCCCTACCTTATGTCCCAGACAAAAGCAGGGGACACATGCTTCCCTCCAGAGCCTGATGTGTCACACTAAGTTAGTCCAGCTCCTACTCACTGCCAAAACATGCTCCTCCTCACAGCTCAGCTGACTCCCAGGTCACTCTCCTCTTGAGCTTTAAAACGTGGCATCACATTCACCACTTTCCGCTTTTGGCAAGCCTGGGTTACACGCTGCTCAGAGAAGCTCAGCTATTTTATTCTGGAGTTCCTTTAAGACTCTTGGACAAATGCCATTGCCCCCAGCGAGCTGTTACTGTTTGCTTTGTCAGTGTGTTGAACAACCTTTTCCACTGCTGCTTCAGTTTCAGACATGTTCATTGGTGAACCCCACCCTGCTGAAGAATGGGTCCTGCCACGTCGATCTCTTCGCTCAACACTTAACACAGATGCAGGGATTCCTGCAATGGCCTTATGTCCCCTGTGGCCTCCTCTCACAGCCTGATCATCCATCTGCCCCTCAGAACATCTGGCAGGTTCCTGATACATGTCAAGAAAGATCTGGTGTTAGTTTTGATTCCTTTTGCTAGTTGTTCCTTGAAGCTTTTCTTGACCTGGCTGTCTTTCTACATGTGAGGTGCTGAAGTTTGCATACTTCTCTGCTCTTCCCATAGTAGCCAACTTCAGCTTTTTTTGATAGATGCTTTTTTCTGACTTCCTTTACTCCACTGAGCAATGCTTTCTGTTCCCCACATGAAAGGTGCTCATCCCATTTTTCATGAGCATGCCTGGTTTAGCAAGGATGGCAAAGGGTGACAGGAAGTGAATTCAGGTGATGCGAATGAAAAATATAAGGGGTGGCATTTTCGGACAGACAGAAAAAAAAACAGTTGTGGTTGGTGTTGGTATAGGCCATCAGTGCAAGGCAACAGGTCAAAACTACAAAGGCTGCCGAAGCAGAATGGGAAGAAGAGAAGGCTGTTTCCAGAAGGCTGGAGATCAAGAGGTAGAGGGCAGGAACAGTGAAGACATCAAGTGAGAAAACAGGATTATGACGCTGATCCCTGGATGTCACATTGAGAGGGGGTGTGAGAAGCAAGAGGGATCAGCAGCATTGCCCCAACAGGTACATTTGATGTGCTGATGTAGCGTTACAAGAGGTAGGAGAAGGGATTAAGGGTGATAGTGGAGAGCAATTGCACAGGATTGTATGGGATGATAACACTGACATGTGGTGAGTCAAAGCAGTGACTGTCAGTGAACCAGGGCAGCATGGGACAAAGCTGATGGATAACCATGAAGAGGTCCAAATCCTCCAACCCAACCAAATAGGTTGGGCCAATGATAATAAGGTGCAGCAAAGGAAGGGAAAATTACTACAAAGGCAGGAAAGACAGCATGTCATTGTTTTAAGAGACTGTGGAATAACTTCAGCCTCCTGTGCTGCAAACTGTCTGGCATGAGTCATCTTCTGGGAGACATATAACTTGCCAGCACATATTTCAGTGTCACTAGGCAATGTGGGCCCTCCCACCATAACCAGGCACCGTGCATGGGAAAGGAGGGCACAGTTTTCTTCTCTTTCTGAGTTCAGTCACCTCTGCTCTTTCCATTCAGCTCCCTCTCTTTCCCTGTTTTCCACAGTATTTTTTACCATTTTCTTTTCCCCTTTTTCAAACGCTTCTGAAGTCATGGGTTTGCTTAGTACTGATTTCTTTATGAATTGCTGGGTTTCTCTTTTATACTTGTGTATATGCCTGAATCATTCTCACACACACACCCCTCCCATGAAATACAATCAGCATTTTATTAAGTCCTTAGCATGAAAGATCAATTTTCCTCATCTGATAAATATGCACAGACTCATACCAGGAGGTGTGCTGCAAATACTCTGAGATCCTTTATTTGCAGAGGATTTGGAAGGCAAACAGCCCTACACTCTGTGAAGTGGGCCATTTTTCAAACTGCAGGGGAATGTTCTTTCTCTAAAACACTGCCCAGCAACGTCTTGTGCCTTACTTGAGGAGAATCCCTTTCTCACCCAAAAATTTGCCCAGGGGTGTAAACTTCTTGATATAGGAGATGTATCTGAAACAGCTGAACAGCCTTGAGAAAGAATGAAAAGAAGAGGTGACAGAATAGGACAGTGACTATAATGAGGAAATCCCACTCTTCTCAGTATCACCAGAAGTGGCCACATGGCTTGACTAAGATTCATGTTTTGTTGGCCAGCCTCTTCGGGAAGGGAAGTAAAGGGAAGAAAAGGGAAGAAAAGGGAAGAAAAGCAGATATTAATCCAGATATTCTAGGCCTTTTATTTACAGGGGATAAACCTTACATTACGTCATTATAAAAGACAATGCCAAAGGTTATCCTACCACCTAATCCTTAACTTGAATTTATCAAGCTACATCTTGAAAAAAACATTAGGTTCTTTGCGTCATGGATCATTCTGAAGCTTCATATTACTGCTAGCCTGAGATCTTGAGAGGGAAAACATGAAATCTCTCATGCAGAAGAATTAATTGAATGCTTCTGAACAATTAAAAAGGAGATGGGAAAGGGGGGTGATGCCTTCTGCTCTGCCTTTTCAGAAGGGTGTGGTGGGAAGTGTTCCCTCAAGCCATTTGGCGATGAAATCTGGCCTTACCCGTAGAAGAACTGGGATTTATAGACTAACTTCTCTTCTTAAGGGCTTAATTCCCTATGGATCCCCTTTTTCAGCATAACTTTTGGTTTATATTCCAGAGAAGGAGACATCACCATCACCAGAGCAAAGCCAGGCAGCAAAAGCAACACGAAACCGCCAAGGCAGGAGTGACTGAGGGGTGCACCTGGAGAATTACCTGAGGCAGTATCCAAACCGGAGGTAAACATAAACTGGGTTGTCCCAACATCAGCTCTAGCAAAGCTCCAGGCGGGCAGCAGCAGGCGTGTGTGTGTCTATCAAGCAAACGCTTGCTGTGCTGTGCTAGGCTCAGAGTTTGACCAGACCCAACCCTGCAGGTGTCGGTCTCAAAACTAGTCTGAGGTGGCTGCATCTGCCTCCGGTTCCCAACAACAGGCAGGAGAGATGAGGAAAGGGGTGGGGACACGGGGGAGTCATGTGGGTGTGATAATAGTTATATTGTTAGGGCTGGAACAAGGAAATGACAGATTTCAGCTAGGGAGAACGAGGTGGGTGGGGGGAACCTCAAGGAGGCTTCATCTTGACCACTCTACTTAGCAGCTGCTCCAGAAATGAGTCCTGTAGTGTTGCTTGCTGCTGTTTCAGCCTGGAATGCACACCTAGCTTCCAGATGGGCATTGGACTTGGCTTAGTTATGCCAGTGAGTAGGAATTTTCATCTAGCCATTTCCAAAGCCCATCCTATTGCAATAGGACTGGACTGAGACTGGTATCTGAGGAGTGGTTAATCCTACATGGCTGAGTGATCCTAGATGAGACCCTGAATTTAGGGACTGTGCAGCAGAAGTAGAGCTTGAAGGCCTGTTTTCAGTGATTTTCTCATGGAGGATGGGTCACTAGCAGCAAAGGTGGCAGCTGACTCAGACACAAAGTAGTACGGCTAATGTACCATGGGGTCTGGTCACTGGGCTGCTTCAGCACCTAGACTGATGCAGCATTTGCAGGAAGCAATATCCCTCATCCTGCAATGCAGACAACAGATGGGAGGCACTGCATTTTTCAGGAGCTAATTCAGGTATTCCAGCAGAGGCAGAGGATGAGTAGCCACTACCCAGGCTCTCCTCTGGGCTTTGTAATGCATTGCAAACAGCAACAAAAGAGGATTCACCTAGGTCTTCTGGGCTCTGCTCATATTGACTTCATTCTCCTAGAAAGAGAGGCTGGATTCCCTCCACACAGTTCCCAACAGGATTTGCTTAGTCATACAATACCATTTTTGTGAGCTGTACCCTGTAGTCTCCCACTTTTCATGCTGAAAGACAGAGATAACACACACTGTTTCATTTTTCCCCTAGGACTCCCTTTTGTGCCACCAGAACAGTTCTCTGCACCCACTCTGTTCCTACAAGGTAAAAAATGAATAATGCATTGAAAAGCAGCCTCCTTGGGACACAAAGGAGTGGGAATGCATACATGGACATACTCTTGCTGCTGTAGTATCACTGCTTGTGTGGGACAGACACCACTGCTGCCTGGCAAGTTACATCAGCAGCAAGGGAAAAAGCGTTCAACAGCCCATTGGATTGGCTTGCAAATCCCTGCTGGCTTTTTAATAATGATCCTCTTTAGGGAGCACCACCTCTGCCTTAAGGAAGTCCATGAATCCTGCGTAAAAAACTCCCTGCTGAAAAGCAACAGCAGCACAAAGCGTATCCTCATATCTGCCCATCTATCAGCTACTAGGTGGTGCCTCTTTGGCCACATACTTCAGTTAAACTTACAGCACCTCCACACTGCTATTCCTTGACTGTCTACTGTCTGGGTTGCTAGTTTTAATGCAGAAAAATATAATCAGATGTACAGCTGATTAGTTGTAGCTAATCCAGAAATAATCACTGGTTTCTATCTTGCAAACAGGAAATTACATACACGGATATACAAAAGAATTAAACTGATTGGAGGTCTTTCAAGTAGTTTAAAAACATGTATCATTCGCTACACTTGGAATCTAGACCAGATGGGGAGAGACTTCTCTTTTTTCCCAACACAGTAAAGGTGTGTTGAAAAAAAAAAGGTTGTTCCATTTTAAAATGTTGTGTGCACACAATGTGTGATCATTATCACATTCCTACCTGGGCAGATAATAGATAGAGCTGGTAAGGAAACATTTCCAATTTGATGCCGTAAAAAATGATTCATGTTTACTCAAAGGTTGTTCAGTAGCAATAAAAAGCAATCATGCATTCAGTTTGTGAAGATACAATATATAGAAGCACTGCCCAGAGCAACAGGGTGCTTCCCATTTCAAAAGGGAAGGACCTAGTGACAAGTGTCTGAGAGAAAAGGATCTTTTTCAGCATAGAGCTCCTTGGATTTAAACTGTTGTCAGAGATGAAGCAAATATTATGAATCAAAACTTCCAGCAAGCATTTGCATGGAAGATCTTTCCTCCTAATGCAAGACTTGGGATTTCAGAAGACCATTTATCCCATAATTGCTGAGCCTGATTGGGGGTGTCAAAAACCATTGCCATCTGGTGTGACTCACCTTGATAGGTCAATACATCAAATAATATCCAGAAGCTTGTGGATGAGCAAAATGCTCAAAACACTCTTGTGGTGAGGAACATTTGAGTTATCAACAGGAGTCTTCTGCAACCTACACTAATAATTCCGTGTCACTATCTTCTGTTACACTGAAGTGTGTCTGAGGAAAATGGTACCATTTATGACTGACAGGCTTGGTCAGAAGATGGTCACTTGAATAATCTAGTTCCTTTATGCATTAGTGAAAAACAGTAGAATAAAAAGGAAAAATGTAAGTAATAAAACAACCCTGAAGAGTTATCAAATTCTGATGCTGCAAATGGAGATTGAGACTGGCACCTGAGAAGGCAACAGATTTGTTGTTTGCATTGTTTCTAGCATTTGGGGAATCGAGCTGTAATTGTGGTTGTGAGCTGGCAATGAGTTTGCAGCACATCTCTGTGACCAGGGGAACGTAAGGATATTTACAAAGCCACGTCCAAAGCACAATATTCCCATGACTGAAGCAACTGGAAGTCACCTCAGGGCTGATATGAGCTCTGAGGTGTGCCACGACAGTAGATAATGTATGGCAGCCTGAGCAGCAAATCGGCCTGAGAAAGAGGAAAAAGGGGAATTGCTTAGATGAGGGCTGACACAGCAGCTGGAAATGGTGAAAGAGCCAGCAAGATGTTTGTTTAATTATTTCCAAAAAAAAACAACCCTATGGAAAAAGTCTTCTGAAACATTTATCTAGATGTGCATGTGCTTTAGATGTCATTCAGATACGGCAACTCAATCCAGATGTTTGAGGTTTTAAGTATTCCTCAAGTCAAAAGAAATACAGAAATACAAGTTACCTTTTTTTCACACCCAGCAAAAAGGACTGTGTTTCTGAACTCATTTGCAAAGATCAGTGGAAGACTGTTTAAAATACTGTGGAAATCGGAGAATGCCTAACAATTAGCACTACCAAATTCAGCTGTAGTTGCTTTGTGGGTGCTGTTGAGTTAAATGAGTATAAAATGGGCATTTTCAGGGGAAAAATCATTTTTGTTATTGCATTAAGACAGAGGCACAATTCCAGTACAAGGGAGGTGGGTTTTGGAGGATGGTCCATTAGTGTAGGAAATCACACTGATGTCAGTCAGTCAAAGAACTTATAAACATGCTCTCTATGAAGTGACTTGGTTATGTGTTACACTGGGAATTGTAAGCACCAATGCTGCATAATTGTTAGTACCTCTGTGTATGTTCTCAGAGTTTAATGCATAGGCTACAAGGCTGGTTCAAAAGGCTGATGTGCATCTTCAGGGATTCTCCAGGTCTACCTGAGTGCATAAAACAGCTTCAGGAAGAGCTGACACCCTCCACTAAATGGCATCTCCTTCTGGCACTGCCCAACATGGGATACAGAGCTGCATGGACCGTAAGTCCAACCCAGAAGGGCATTTCTAATGCTCTGAGGAAGCTGCTTTGTAATTGGCATTTAGTAATAGTAATAGTAGTAATAATAATAATAGTAATAGTAACAAACAGTAATAGTTCATCCCCCCCCATCCCTCCCACATTTTTAGATATAGATTGGACATAAAGGAGAAGCTGTTCCCTGTGAGGGTGCTGAGGCACTGGCACAGGGTGCCAGGAGAAGCTGTGGCTGCCCCAGCCCTGCCAGTGTTCAAGGCCAGGTTGAATGGGACTTGGAGCAACCTGGACTTGTGGAAGGTGTCCCTGCCCGTGGCAGGGGGTTGGAACTAAATGGTCTTTAAGGTCCCTCCCAACCCATGATTCTATAATTTTGCAACTCATCTTTCATGAAAGTTCAAAATAAATCACTTGAGACACAGTTAAGTTTAGAACTGCAGAGGAAGCGATGCTTTTGCTTTCCATTGCTTTTCGTCACAGGACGGAGCTAGAGGAAAGCTCTAAGTTGTGGCTGTAGGTTTGTAACAAGCATCTGTCACAAGGCTCTTCCTGGCACGCTGTCACTTAACTGCCAGCCTCAAAAGTTACTGCTTGCCATTTTCAAGCATGGTATTTTGCAATATGAAGAGGTAAAAGCGGCTGTGTATTTTGAGTCACTAACCAAACCATTGCTTTCTCCAGTAAGGATCAAAATTCAGTGGCAGATGACTGGTCTGGAGCAGGTATTCATAAAGGAAAGAAAGAAGTGAAAACCTCAGAGAGAGCTAGTTTGAGAGAAAACCATTTGGGAAGAGGCCTGGGAAAGAGGTTCCAGTGTTCTCATGGCAGGGGGGTGTTTGGGACCTCTGGTCACTTTTGGCTTTGGGTATTCATTTCCGTGGTCTGAGGAAACACTGCAAGGGTTTGGGTAACACCATAGGCCTTGATTTTCCGGGCACAGTGAAACAAGCTCCCACTCATGGCAGGGCCGGGTAGTTCTGGTTAGGAAACGATTCTTTAGTTAATGAACCAGCAAGGGCGATGCTATCTCATGCGGATCACTGTGCCGCCACCAGCCTTCTCTGCGCAGCCCATCCCTCTTCGCAGATCTCCCCCCAAACTCTCCATCACCCTCAGCCTTGCCCTCGGAAAGCACAATTCGGCGATTAAAGCCACGCAGGAGCCCTCACCCTGCCTCCCCAACAGGGTGCCCCGTCCGCCCGGCGCTGCCTTCGGGACGAGCGCTACCAGCCCGCTTTCTGCATCACCTCGGCTCGCTGGGACGCCGCGTCTCCGCAGCCTGGGGGTGGAAGGAGGATGAGGAGGAGGGACCGGCTGTTCCGCACCATACCTGGCCGGGGCAGGCTCCCCTCGGGGGCACCGGGTACCCCGCCGGGAGCGCGGTGGCCGCGCCTTGACCCCCCGGCAAGCACCCCCGGCGCCTCCAAGGTCACAGCCCCGGTGCCTCGGCCGCGAACACTTGAGAGTTTAAAGAGGCTTTTCTTGCTCGGGAGCGGCGCCCGGGGGGAAGGGGCAGAGGAGGGAGGGAGGGAGGAAGGGAAGGGAAGGGAGAAGGGGCGGGCGGGGAGAGGCTGGCAGGGCAGGAGCCGGGCGGGGTGCTGGCTCCAACTGGAAAGGAACCGGTCCCAGCCCAGCCGGAGAGGCTGCGGGAGAGCCGGCAGCGCTCCGGGAGAGCACACCGGCCCCGGGACCGGCCCGAGCAGCAGCCGGCGGCCATGGGAGTCAGTCCCGGGGGGCCGGGCAGGGGTCGTGGCTGAGGGAGGGCAGCGGGAGGGACGCGGGGCTGCTCGATGGGGGAGGATCTGCCCCGTCACCTGAGGGAGAGGAGGGCTTGGAGGGGAGGGATAGGAGCGGGGGCATGGAGGGCTGGGGACCTGCAGCCTGGGATGGGGTCGGGAAGGAGAGGATGAAGGCACCGAGTTTTTGGGAAGATGGTGATGCAGGGACAGGTTTTGCACCTGGAAAGGTTTCCTGGAGCCCCAGTCTTGGAGGGCTAGCCCTTAATTCTGAGTCTGTGCTATAGGGTGGGTCTGTGAAGACAGGGAAGATGCCAGAAGGAGAGAAAACAAGGCAATGTAAGCAAGAAGAGGAGCAGCAGCAGAAAGAAGAGAAGCGGGAGGGTCTTATCGAGTTCTACAGTTCCTACCAGGAGCTATTCCAGTTCTTCTGCAGCAACACAACCATCCACGGGGCTATCCGCTTGGTGTGCTCCAAAAAGAACAAGATGAAGACAGCCTTCTGGTCTGTTCTCTTCTTTCTCGCCTTTGGCTTAATGTACTGGCAGTTTGGGATCCTCTACAGGGAGTACTTCAGCTACCCTGTCAACCTCAACCTCAACCTTAACTCCGACAGGCTGACTTTCCCAGCTGTGACGCTGTGTACCCTCAATCCCTACAGGTAAGAAATAGACTGTTCTATAGACAGCCCCAGAGCTGTTAACCATCTTGATTTTTGCAGGCATAGGATAAAAGCAGGTACTCCTGTTCTTCTCATGGTCCTTGACTGTCCCCTTCTATAGCATTGCCAGTGGAAAGGACACTTTTCATGGGCCTTTACTGCTGCAGGGCTTTCACAGTAAGGCATGTTACTTTAGGCAACTATTTGGTGGTGTATGTTAGCAAGCTGCCCTGTAAACTGCCACAAGGCAAAAGCAGATGTGTTTACGTCTCTCCTACAAGAACGGTAGCCTCCAGCAAGGGCTTGGATTTGCAGTTATCCTGAATCATCCCAGCAAACTTTGCCGAATGTCTTATTCAGAATTGTTTCTGTGCGTCCATCCCTAAGCCTCCCGGCTCCTCTTTCCACTCCCTGTATAGATACAGCGCCATCCGGAAGAAGCTGGATGAGCTGGACCAAATCACCCACCAGACACTGCTAGACCTTTATGACTACAACATGTCTTTGGCACGAAGCGACTGGTCCACGCTGTCCACACGGAAGCGTAGCTCAAGAAGTCTGC